TTTTTTTTAGGTGGTTGCATTTACGTGATGTTTTTCTGCTCAAAGCTTTTGTAAACTGCTTTGAATGATCTGCATCTGTAAATTTGGTGAGCATAACCCAAAAGTTTTAATCCTACTTATTTATACTTGTCATTTTACCTTAGCTTTTGGTTGTTTAAAGGGGTCATGCCATGGATATTTGATTATTCTGTTCCTTGAGGTTTCTTATAATGAAATAGGGCTGTGAATTGCCAAGAATCTGGCAATACGATACATATCACAATACAGGGGTTATGATACAATATATTTCAATACTGTAAGAAATAGGGCTGCACGATATTGGAAAAAGCTGACATTGTGATATTTAAAAAAAAAAATTCTAGTATTTAATTATCCATTTATTTTGAACAAAACAGTTTCATAAATGTCATGTTTTAGATTGTAGGTTGTCTTGTACACTGTCAAGGACAAAGCTAATCAGCAAAACTTTATATCAAAAGCATCCTAAATGTTACATGTGTTTGCACCTTATTGTAGTGATTAACCTTTCCTGGTATTGCTGTTTTAAATAGCCCACCATAATCTGTAGTCTGAGCCTGTCAAGGGCTAATGGCAATTGCAAATATGTTACTTGTTAGTTTGAAAGAAAATTATTTGAATCGCTTTCAAATGTTTTATTTTTATTTTTTTGCCAAAAAAACCCCTGCGTGTCCTCCACCCCCGGAAAAAGTTCAGGCTTAGGATTTTTTTTGCTTTAACTGATGTAATAATTTTTAACCCTTTTTCATTGTATGCCTTTACAAACTGCATTTCAACTGTATGTTTACATGTATTTTTCCCTCTTCTTCTCTCAGATAAATGCTGAATTACAACAATGTCCCTACAATCCAGAATTTTGTCTCGGTTAGATATGCTGTCTGAAAAATTTCTAAGAGTATTTAAAAAGCAAGGAGGGCAAATAGGAGGAAGACTGCAGACCATCATGGAACCCATGGCTCAAGTATGTTAGAGATTTTGTTTTTGGTGTGTGTACATTTTATTGGGGAAAACACTGATCTATGACTTGGCTGGACATAAAAAGTGCATTAAGTCATTTTGGAATAACAATATGGCCACTCGAACACTTTCGGTGGCTTAACCACCTGCTGGGAATTTAGGATTCCATGAGCAATCCAGTCATTTATATAGATCAGTGGGGGTAAAAATGTATAATAAAAAAAAAAACCTCTGCTCTGCTTGTCACCCTTGGCCATGACGGTGATGTCGATATTGGACGAGATTGTATTATCAAGGGGCTCTGCATATACCTCAACGAGGATCCAGACAATTTAGTGAAAGAGTATGTGGTAAGTACAGGTGAAGTGAAGTGACATGTTGCCAAGTATGGTGACCCATACTCTGAATTAGTGCTCTGCATTTAACCCATCCAAAGTGCACACACACAGCAGTGAACACACACAAACCGTGAACACGCACCCGGAGCAGTGGGCAGCCATTTTTTTTTTTGCTGCGGCGCCCGCAGAGCAGTTGGGGGTTCGGTGCCTTGCTCAAGGGCACCTCAGTCGTGGTATTGAAGGTGGGGGGGGGGGGGGGACATTCACTTCCCCCCCACCCGGAGCAGTGGGCAGCCTTTTTTTTTTTTGCTGCGGCGCCCGCAGAGCAGTTGGGGGTTCGGTACCTTGCTCAAGGGCACCTCAGTCGTGGTATTGAAGGTGGGAGAGAGTGTGGTACATTCACTTCCCCCACCTACAATCCCTGCCGGTACGAGACTTGAACCCACAATCTTGGGTTACGAGACCGACTCTCTAACCATTAGGCCACGACTTCCCCATTATGTCTTAGTTTAATGATTATAACATATGCTTGAATGCAGGATGTGATGTCATGAGATTAATACATGCTATATATTTTTAAAACATTAAACTCACAACAATATTATGCGTCTCTTACAACTTTATATCCCGCATTGAAGCATATATTGGGAGTTTAGTTTTTTTAATGAATAAATTATATAATGTTTGTCGTATGGTGATACGAGCAGGGGATTTGTTGAATGAGTAGCTGTGTAGCCTATACTCTTGACAGCTGGTGAAATAAAACCACCCGCCAGTAAATTCGAGCAACGTTCTGAGTTGCCGTATTAAGCTACAAACAAGTAGAAAATAATTTATTTGTAGATTATACAACAGCAAATAGGAAAACAGACAAAACAGAAAAGGTAAGAAGGGATATTTGAGAAAGGAGCATAGCCGCAGACCCATAGCGGAACTAAATTTACCCCGCGTCACGTGATTTGCTTGGCCTTGTCTTGTTCTCATTATATACAAGTTCACATTTTCATTAGATCTACATTATTAATTGATTGAAATTGCATTTTTTTAAATAATATTCCCAGAGAAGTGCCCAATGTTCTGTTAAATCTAATTTTGTCTGTGCATTCTGCTGACGAAGCCTTCATCCAAAAATCCAATGAGACCACCACAGTGGGAATCTACGTCCTTAAATTTCATGACGAATCTCAGGACATCGGGATTGTCCTTAAAGGCCAGAACGTCTTGCAAGGCTTGGACAACTTTGCATTAGCTACGGCAATGCTTTTTGATCTAATGTATGCTTTAAATCTCAACTACCCACCTGAAATGAAATATACCCTCGAGGTACTGCAGAAAGAAGTCATGGAGCTGGAAGGCTGCACTCTTATCAGAGAAAGCTCAAGTTCTTAGAAACAGACTCTATGAGTGAGCCATTTCCATGGTACGGCAGGTACTTCCTCTTGGAATAAGGACCACTGCGTTCCTTTTTTCATTTCACACACTCACAAAGAAAACTTATACCGCACATACGGAGGCTCATTATTCTCCACCTGTTCCACTACACGTTTGATGGTGTCTTGTTTTATACGTCATGACAGGATATATGCTGTCATTGTTCATAGTTATTCGTTGCATACCATGAAGCAGTTTTAACATCTCACAGAGAAAGCTCATTTTTGTAGCACATACTCAGTGAAAAAATGTATTGTACTTTGGGCTACTTTATACTCCTCATTACTGTTAACCTTTTCCAGAACACCTGTTTGGTGGTGTCTTGTCGTTTACTTAATGTTTGTTTTGTTGCATTTTATTATATCTAAATGGTCTAAAGACCGAGGATAGGCTGTCGTTGTTTGTAGTCATTCGTTCTTGGAATGCAAGCAGTTTTTAACTTCACACAGAGAAAGCTTATTTCTGTAGCACATACTTGGTGGAAAAATTAATTGTACTGTTAAAAATAATACAGAGATTTGATGTCTTATGCTTTTAAGACAAAAACGTCTAGAGAAGCTTTGGACTACTTTATACTCATCATTATTGTTCAACTTTTACCACAACACCTGTTTGATGGTGTTTTGTCTTTTACTTAATGTTTGTTTTGTTGAATTTTACTCTGAATTGTCTAATGACAGGATATGCTGTCATTGTTCGTAGTCATTCATTCATGGAATTTAAGCAATTTTTTAATCTTAAAACAGTTTTTGTAGCACATACTGTGAAAATTTATTGTACTGTTAAAAATACAGTGAATTGATTCAAGAAATGTTTTTGCTTGTCTTGCTACTTTTTAAAAAAAAAACTGTTGTATTAATGTTGTAGCTAAGACTAGTAGATGTTCAAAATACATTTATTTATGAAAACCAGCTTACAGTATTCTAAAACTAGAACTAACCAGGTTAGTTTTATTTATTGAGAAACCACTGCATATATGAATGAAAGACATTAAAATCGCGTATGTTTAACAAACATAAATTATGTAGCTTAAACATATAAAAATCATGTTGAGTAAATCTAACTTTTAATATGTGCAACCGATGTACATATTTTTTTTTGTTAATCCTAACCCTTTTTTTTGTTAATCCTTTTCGCGCCTTGTGCTTAAACGTTCAAATACACAGTTATGTGTCAAAATACCAGTCTTTGAGAGTATCCTCGTCAACACAGTCAGTTGTGTCTTACATGAACGTTAACCGTTAAAGGGGTCATATGATGCTGCTAAAAAGAACGTTATTTGGTGTAATGAAATGTTAATGCGGTTTAAAGTAAAAAAAAAACATTATTTTCCACATACTGTACATTATTGTTTCTCTATGCCTCGCCTTTGTGAAGCGCGTCGATTTTTACAAAGCTCATCGGTCTGAAAAAGTGAGGTGCGCTATGATTGGCCAGCTATCCAGTGCGTTGTGATTGGCCAAATACCTCAAGCGTGTGACGGAAATGTTACGCCCCTCACCATATTGTGATGCCCTATCCGGCCAGAGCGACGATTCAAAAAAAAGATTAAAACCCATTACAAACGAGGCATTTGTTGCATCCAGTGGGGACATAATTACTGATTATAATGACTTATACTGTCTTTTTACGCGTTGCATTGCATCGTGCCACGTAAACATAAAACCCTGTCTGCATTTATGATCAGAGAAATGTTAGTACAAGTGCTACTCCAAACTGCCCAAAACTCGCGTTTGAATCATCAGTGGCAAATGATAAAAGAAAACGTACTTACGTGAGTCAGAACTGCCGGCATTTTAGTCTAACGTTACTCTCCCAGGATCAGTAAACAGTCCACCATAAAATGTGCTGGCGATCCACAGCACTAAGTTGATGTATTCCCTCAGCGACCATCACGGATCAGCTCCAGGCATGACGAAGCGGATATCGTCCTCTTTTGGAAGACCAAACAAAGTAGTTTCGCTTTCACAACGAAAAACACAGTGGTCTAGCGTGAGCGGAAGCCCCGGTTCAGCGTGAGCAAAAGCCCCGGCTTAGCGTGAGCTGAGGCGGCGGGGTCGAGAACGGCGGTC